CGAGTGTGGTGTGTATCAGGATTTTTCCCCAAAATTCCACATCCACCAGGATCACCCTCCCCAGGAAGATAGCAATAGAATCTAGAATTATTGAAGGAAGAGATGTAGAGGAAATTGATTGCCGGTCAGGAAGCTGGCAAAAACATAGAGATGAGAGTAAAGGAGTATGGGGAGCAGTAAAGAGAATGATCTGAAGGGTATAGAGCAGGGGTGGGCAAACTTTTTGACTCGAGGGCCACAATGGGTTCTTAAACTGGACCGGAGGGCTGGAACAAAAGCATGGATGGAGTGTTTGTGTGAACTAATATAAATTCAAAGTAAACATCATTACATAAAAGGGTACGGTCTTTTTTTTTTTTTTAGTTTTATTCATTTCAAATGGGCCAGATCCGGCCCGTGGGCCGTAGTTTGCCCACGGCTGGTATAGAGGTTGGTGTTGAGTAATAAGAGGAAAAGAAGCTAACTACCCAAGCTGGGAACTCAGAAAGGGCCTGGGCTTTCAAGAGTAAAAGACTGGGTTTTATCCAGTGAACAACCAAAAAGATGATGGACAAAGTCACCTGTATTAGGAAGATTAATCAGACTGAGCAGTTCTCAACCTGTGTGTCGCGAACAATGAAAATACATCCTGCATATCAGATATTTACATTACAATTCATAACAGTAGCAAAATCACAGTTATGAAGTAGCAACAAAAATTATTTTATGGTTGGGGGTCACCACAACATGAGGAACTGTATTAAAGGGTCGCAGCATTAGGAAGGTTGAGAACCACTCAGGAAAACACACTCAAATTTTAAGGTTTAAGGGAAGCATTAAGTGCCTTGACAGACAAGGCAAGAAGAAACTAAGCAGAAGGAGTTTACTAATCATGGGGACAAAAAGGAAAAAGACAGTAGAAAATAATTGTAAGTTTGGTGTATTCACTCCACTGTAAAAAATGCAGATGCGCAATGAATGCAGACCCATTGAATTGGAGGTTCTGAGGGTGGTATCAGGTATGTGCTTTCTAGAGGCTCTGCAAGCTCACCATAAAAAACCTCTAGTCTACAGAGCAAAGCAGACAGGTTCTGGGCTCACTACCTTTCCGTTGGCCTTCTCAGACTTCTGAGCCAGTCAGAAGATTGACACAGTGCTGAGGGATGTCATGATATACACAGAAGACGGTGGCAGCTAACAATTGCCCAACTCTTACGAATAGTAGAAGCCTAATTGTGCTTCTGAGTTCAAGAATAAGAATTCAGTGAGGAGGAAGATGACTATGGACTGGGACAGCAGTTGGAAAGGACTTCTAGAGGAACTGAGACATAGTCCAGACCTTACAGGGTGAACGGTAGCCCAAGACAGGGGGACAGTGAAAGTGGACAAAGCATTGTGTAGTATTGCTCTGAGCAGGAGAGTGTGGGCACTACATTTAGAGCAAGCATGTCAAACTCAAAGGCTAACACGGACCAAATAAACAAGGTTTAAGTTTATGTGGGCCGCAAAAAAAACAAAAGCTTCAATTTTCATAGAAACATAGGTTTATTTCGATAGAGACATGCTGAATACAAAGGGCTGAAATAAATGAGTGATCGTTAACATAAGAGAACATTTTAATAAAAAGTAATATTTTTTCTTGGACATTAACTTACCAGACACTGAATAACTGCACAAATTAATAAGCATAATGCAAATAAACCTATTTTTCTTGTTCTCTGAAAGTGAAATATTTCCTGTTGCGCACACCAAACAAGTCAGTACAAGACTAATGACACGGCAATCGGCTGCTAAAATATTTGCTGCTAGTATTAGTGGAGAGAAATGGTGCACCTGTGCATAAGGCACATAAGGGAAATGAATGCAACACGATTATAGTAATCTGTGATTGAAGAACATTGTAGTTTGTTATTAATAATTATGTATAATAGTATATTGTAAAAATTAAGTTAGGAAATTTTTATTAAAACATTTCTTGCATACCGTTATATGGGCTGGGCCGCAAAAATATTCATTGTGGGCCGAGAGTTTGACGTGCTTGGTTTAGAGAACAGATGAGGCCAGGTGAGCCTCTCTCTGAGCTGCTCCTCTGTACAGGGCTGTTGATCCTAATGAAGGCCATGGGGCAAGCACATTTACCTTTCCTTTTCCCATCTCTCCTATTTGTATCTGGTCCTCTTCAACCACATAATAGCTTTTGTTTTTACACACTGCTTGTACAATACACATTAAATTCACTCACACTAAGATACAAATGACACATAATCCCTTATGTTATTCTGGAATATTCTGTGTAGTGGAATTACTTATAGAAAACTTATTTCATTCTCTCTGCAGCTCAATAGAGTGGGGAGGTCAGCAACTATCCCCTTTTATAGATAGGGAAAGAAAGGCCCAGAGAATCTAATTGGCCAACGCCTAGCACAGGGCTACTAAGTGGAGAACCGAACTGGGAGATGTGGGCACAGTTTTCTCTCTGCCACCCTGTTCTGCGTCTTGCAGCAGTATCTTCATTTCAACAGGGATCAGAGCCCTGTGCTAAAGGCATGTGGCTCTAACTTAGGACTTTGGACATCAATCTGGAGATAGAATGATTCTTTCAGCAAAGCCCTGAATCACCCTACATAAGTTATGCCTTTGTCTTCACATGACCTGCTGGCTGTGTGATCATAGGCAAGTCAGAGAAAATGATCTGAGCTTCACTTAACCTGTCCATCAAATGGAAATAACTATGACTGCTTCATAGGGTTTTTCTGAGGATTTCCTAAAATACACCTGGATAATGTCTTTGCCAAATAGGAAGCCTCATAAACCTCATTTTCTCTTTCCCTTCTCTTCCCCATTATACCTACACACAAGGCAAGCCATGCCAAGTCAGAACCACGGGCTCACCCAGACCCTGCAAACACCTTTATTGCCCCCTCTTTGTATCTGCTTTTAGCCCTTTCTCTCTCCCCTCCATCCCTGTGTCTAGCCACACCAGCCTCCCTTCACTTCTCAAACTAGCCAAGCATTCCCCTCCTAGGTACTTGTGTAAATGCTGGTTCCTCTGCCTACAATCCGCTCTGCCCTACCCCGGCCCCCCTTGCTCTTCATGCCCCAGGTGTCAGCCCAAGTGTCACTTCCTCAGGAAGGACTGAAGAGGGTTCCTCCTGTGATTCTCTCTCGCTGCATCCTGTCATTTTCATTGTTATTACGATTTGTAAGTATATGTAAATTCTATGCTTATGGGTTTAATGTCTGTTTTCTCCACTAGACTACAGACCCCCATGTTGGCTACTATCTTCATAGTACCCAGTATGGAATCTAACACATACGCATGTTCCATAAATATTTTTTAGCTGTTTCTTGGATGAATGCTATTCTTTTCTCTCCCCTTTGGGATATACTCCTATAGCCTCCTCACCAAACCATATAGTACATTACACACACACACACACACACACACACACACACACACACACAATTCCCATGGAGCCCATATCCCTGACTATTTCCTTCATTTTCTTTCCCCAACATTTATTCATACATTATCATGAATTAGGTTGCATATTTTCTCTGGTTGTTTCACGCTTCCTTAATCACATTGTTAATTTTTCAAGGGCTAAAAGTCCATCAAGATCTTTTTTAGAATCCCCCATAAACCTAGTAGAGTAGCTGGGAACATGTTTTGGTGCTTAGTAATTTCTTGATGAATGAATGAATAGATTAATCCATCAATCCTAGTATATTCCTTTTGCACAGAGAAAATCTTCACATAGCAAATATGGAGATACCATTGCAGCAAAACAATTTCTAACTACAGCCCACTGCTGTAGTCCCTCTTCTTGGGTTACTATATTGAGTTTCAATAAGAAGAAAACAATCTTATCTTGAAAGGGGGTTTTGATTTATTTTTAATAAGAAAGGCTGAATTGGAAGCTTGCATTTTCCCCAAAATTTAATAATAGCACTAGTAACACCTTACACTTTTCTCTGGCCTTATTTCAGGTGTGACTTTGAAGCTCCCAGTTAAGTTTCTGTTGTGATGTAATAGCAAGACCAATATCACCAAACCCACCCAAAGGAGGGGTCACAGAGCAGGGGCGTCAGTCTAGTCTAAGCATGTTTTCAGAATCAGTCAGTCCAATTCAGAAATGGACAGAGAACTTGAAGGAAACATCAGGTTACTTGATGCCACTGTACTTAAACATCTGGGGTCCTGATAGTAAACCCTGGTAACTTTGATAAGAAATAGCTTTTGATCTCGCTCACTTTCTTCACTCACAATTAGAACAAAACAAACTCATGTGGGTAAAATGTTATGCCCAAAACAATAACTTGCTGAATTGGGGTTTCAATTTCTACATTTGCCCTGTTATTCTGAGGCAGAAACTTCCGTTTACTGGTTGCCCTGCCAGTAAACCTCAGATTGCTTAGTTGCTCATGTTATCAGTACTGTTAATGGTTAACAACAACAACAAATATAAGCATATATGTGCGCACATATATATTTACTATTTGTTGTAATATATGCATTTTAATTTACTTTGACAATTGTCTAGCAGGTTCTGTCTAGTTAGTAGTATCTTCCCCCAATTTTGTATTTGATCTTACAGGCCAGGAAAAGGAAACCAAGTTTTGCTAAATACCCATGAACATTGTCAAGGTTGGTATGAGGTCTGTTCTTCGTGTGGCATCACCTAATCACCTATTTTCCTACCCCTGCTTGGCTTTGTGACAATTAAAAGAGCCTATAAGAGCCCTGACGGGTTTGGCTCAGTGGATGGAGCGTCGGTCTGCGGACTGAAGGGTCCCGGGTTCGATTCCAGTCAAGGGCATGTACCTTGGTTGCGGGCACATCCCCAGTAGGGGGTGTGCAAGAGGCAGCTGATAGATGTTTCTCTCTCATTGATGTTTCTAACTCTCTATCCCTCTCCCTTCCTCTCTGTAAAAAAAAAAATCAATAAAATATATTTTAAAAAAAAAAGAGCCTATAAGAGAAGACCGCTAATGAGTGCCCTTCTATCCCCATCTCTCAGGCTACAGAAGTCCTGAAGGTTGATGGAGGGCCATGCTATTCAAACAGCAGGTGTGGCTGAGACAGAAGCTCCTGGTACTGGGAAGCCTTGCTGTTGGGAGTCTCCTGTATCTAGTCGCCAGAGTTGGGAGTTTGGATAGGTAGGTGATTAAACACATACCTATGCCCATGTGACTTTATGTGTTTCTTGACTTAAACTTCCTTAGGACATAATTTTAAACCTACCCCTTTATTTTTCTCCTTCAAAACTCCCAAGAAACATGCTTTCTTGCAGTATTGATTTTGATCTATTGAGCCTTTAAAACAGAGATCCAAGTTGTTCCAACCAAGTGTTTGTCAGGATCCATTTGTATTCTGTGTGCATTGACATTTATTTTCAGAGAAGGGATAAAGCCATGTACAGGAGAAATGTCATTTTCTAGAGCTCACTGTGGTCTGTGTGCATCTGGTTGTTGACCTCTAGCCATAGCAAAATGGTGATGATGTAATTAGGTATCTTCATTTTGAAATTTATGAGTGAGCCATTAATGTGCTAGCAGGAGAGTTAAAATTATGTTTGCGCCTATAAAGGAGCTCATCAAATTTGGAACCCACTGCCCTGGAAAGATGGCTGCAGGCGTGGGGAGTTTGAACTATGTTAATTAGCTCTGGTTTCCAGGAGTTGAATGTACCAGACAAGGAGCCTGTCACTCAGAGTAATTGCCCAGAAACCAATGGAAAATCTATGGAGAGGAAATTTACAGAGCAAGGGGTTGGCTCTAAATAAGCAAACAGTTGAAAGGTGCTCAACCTGCAGAAGCCGAGCAATATCATCCGACTTCACAATGAATACCTCTGGGCTGTGCAACATCCAGCATGACTGTGAAGGACAGAGAATTGCATTTATGAAATGTGGAATTTCCTTCTTCGCTCTTTAAATTAACTATTGCTCTGGAGAGGCTGAAGTATGTTCTCCGTGCATTCAGTTCCCATTTTCTGTGAAAATGCAGCCACACTTTAAAAGGAAAATATCTCCCTTGCAGTTTTCCTTTTCTAATCTATAGATCTTACCACAATAGATATTTATCAAATAATATAGCAGTGGTCTTTATTTTCCTTCTGCCAGTGTCAATTTTGACTGGTAAAGTGAACCCCTTTATGCTTTTCATTTCAAAAATCCAGAGTAAACATCCACGTACTAGTTGCTAACTATGCAAAACGGTATGATCCAGAGCTTATCACTGACTTCAAGTAGTTTCCTAAAGGTAGTGTTTAGTTATTAGTGAAAAGCCTTAAGGTGGTATCATTGTCCTATGTCCATAAAGGAACTTTTATATCAAGTTCTTCCCAATCATTTCCTTTTTATTGAGTAATTGATCTAATGTTCATTAACGTATTAGTTACTTAGTTGATTCTTTTCATTTTTCACCTGGTCTATAGTCTCAAATGGGATTGTTTTTATAAGGAGTTAGATTGCTTATTGGGCCTTCTAAAAAGTTCTCAATTGAGAGTCTGAGAGGATTGCATCTCAAATTTACACATGCTGACTTACACTTATCTTTTAGTAACTCTGAATGGGAGGCTGAGTTCTGTTACTTTTACTGTCCCTTCCAATCCTTAAAGTTCATATTATATAGTCTGAGCCGTATGCTCAGAATCTACTCTTCAAGAAGTCAAAATAAGGTGATATTTTCTCCAGTTTTGATTTATGGAATCCAACAAGCAGTTTTTCTGCAGGCTATGAACTCCCAAGGTAGAAGGTAGAAAGAAGAAGGAAAGAAGAAAAATGGCCCTTTCTAGAGGTAGGAAAAGGACTCTATTTCAGCCTCTCTCAGCCAGAATTCCTCAAGAGAATTAAGTCCTACAGAAAAGGATTTGACTATTGCCTTAATTCTTTCAAGGATGACAGACACTAGCATCATTCTAGATGCACAAGAGAGAAGTCCATCCAGTATATCAATGGATGTCTTGGGGAATTAGTGCTTACTTGTCAATCAAGAAGAACTAAAAGATGAATTTGTGATGTCCCAAGCAACATCACAATTAAAAACATCTTTGACTCTATGTGTGTTGCTACTTTTATATCTTCCATTTAGAACTCCAGCATTAATCTTTACAAATTTGTAAAAACAAAATTTATGTTTCTCTAACATAGTGACTGTGATAAACTTTTTTATAGTATTCCATGTTTTCCACAATGAGCATGAGTTGTGTTTAAAATCATAAAAAACAAGCACCACAAAAAAGTAAACTACGTTTATATTTTTGCTTAAGCATTTGGATAGACAGCTCTTTACACAGAGCACAGGCCAAGCCCTTTCTCCTCAGTTCTGCAGAATGCCTTGGCGTGACCTTGAGGATTTCCTCTTCTCCTTCTAATTGTAAACATTACAGAACATAAGAAAGGTACAATAGAGTCTCTTGGGAAATGTAAGAAAGAAATTTATTGCCACAGAGAAGTAGACATAGACTCCAAATTATTGGGATAACTAGAGGTTTCAGTTGAAGGAATTGGCTTAACAGTCATTTTTACCACTATTCTACCCTTTACCAAGGTGGTTAAAATGCCTTTCCAAATAAACCTGGGGAAATTATAATGAATTTCAGTTCAATTCCAGACTATACCCCAAAGGAAACTCAATGTACTAACCATATATATTAGCCATGCCAAATTAAACAGCCACTCCAGTCTAATAGCATTATAATTATCACCACACCTTTTTCTCTGAGAGAAGCAGTGGTGGTGGTTCATTATTTAAGGCAATGTTGAAATGGGAATCCTCCTTTCTGGCTCCATTGATTGCATCCTTCCTTCATGAGCTTGAGTTCCTGATTTAAATGGACTTGGCAATGAGGACCTGAGGTTTCTGGCCCTGCTAAGGCCGTGTTGATTTCTGGTCCCAGGTGTGGTAAGTGATATACAGCACTCGCTGATGACATTGGGTTTGTTCCTACATTCAACCAAGTAAAAACATAACCCTGACCTCTTTAGATTGAAAGAAAAAGAAATACAGTACTCTTCCAGCTGTCCCTAAGGCCAACGACAGAAATTCTCAAGAGGATGAAAAGCTCAGCAAGTGCCAATTTTGGAATTTTGCAGGTTGATGATGCAAATAACCAAGGACAAAGACTGCAACCTCTTTTCAGATTATATACCAACAGTTTTTAAGAGCCGTATGAGTGCTGCAAGATAGTAATACACACGAAACCCAAAAGACTAGCCTCCTAGCTGCCCTTCCGTCTCCCAGCTAAAGATTATAATCTTCCACCTTTCACATTCTCTAAATAATGTTAACTGGTGAGCTGTTAAAAAGCTATTAGTATGACTGGTGTCACTTGTCTGTCCTGTACTGTGTGAACATAAGTACATGCCGTAGTCAATTAAGTGCTTGGTGAATAAAAAATTTAAGGAGCACTAATAAAAAAATCCCATCAATTATGTGCGCTCCATTTAATACCGTGTTGCTTAAAATAAAATGTCTCAAACATATGTTCATTATGGATTGCGTCAGGCAGGGAAACAGAGGTTTTATTTATGCATTTAAAGTCTTCCTCGGACTGGTGAACCAGAAAAATGAGAATCTAGTTGCAGTGAGGTTCTAACAGTGTCTCTCTGTTGTTTGCAGGCTACAACCCATTTGCCCCATTGAAGGCCGAATCGGAGCCCGTGGGCAGGCTGAATTCCCTCTCCGTGCCCTGCAGTTTAAGCGCGGCCTGCTGCACGAGTTCCGGAAGGGCAACGTTTCCAAGGAGCAGGTTCGCCTTCATGACCTGGTCCAGCAACTCCCCAAGGCCATTATCATTGGGGTGAGAAAAGGAGGCACCAGGGCCCTGCTTGAGATGCTGAACCTCCATCCAGCTGTGGTCAAAGCCTCTCAAGAAATCCACTTTTTTGACAATGATGAGAATTATGCCAAGGGCATTGAGTGGTATAGAAAAAAGATGCCTTTTTCCTACCCTCAGCAAATCACAATTGAAAAGAGCCCGGCATATTTTATCACGGAGGAGGTTCCGGAAAGGATTTACAAAATGAACTCATCCATCAAGTTGCTGATCATTGTCAGAGAGCCAACCACAAGAGCTATTTCTGATTACACTCAGGTGCTAGAGGGGAAGGAGAGGAAGAATAAAACTTATTACAAGTTTGAGAAGCTGGCAATAGACCCTAATACCTGCGAAGTGAACACAAAATACAAAGCAGTAAGAACCAGCATCTACACCAAACATTTGGAAAGGTGGTTGAAATACTTTCCGATTGAGCAATTTCACATTGTGGATGGAGATCGCCTCATCACAGAACCTCTGCCAGAACTTCAGCTCGTGGAGAAGTTCCTAAATCTTCCCCCAAGAATAAGTCAGTACAATTTGTATTTCAATGTTACCAGAGGGTTCTACTGCTTGCGATTTAACGTTATCTTTAATAAGTGCCTGGCTGGCAGCAAGGGGCGCATTCATCCAGAGGTGGACCCCTCTGTCATTACCAAATTGCGCAAATTCTTTCACCCTTTCAATCAAAAATTTTACCAGATCACTGGGAGGACACTGAACTGGCCCTAAAATAATAAGTCATACAACACCATGTGTTGTACCTGGAGACATGCAATGTCTCCTCTAGATTAAAATATGCACTTTTCCGAGACACAACTGTCGAAGTCATGTTTCCATCTCTACTTGTATATACACAGTGTGTGACCAAATATAAGACCAGTTCTTTTTCTACTGAAAATGTACAAAACAATTTGCTGTCTGCATAGTTGCATCTTTGAGACAAGTTACTAAAAGAAGAGGTGATGGTATTGGGGGAAAGTGACTTCAGCTATTCTCAAAGAGTTAGTCTTCCTTTGAGTCAGAATTTGTCACCCGCAATTTACATAAATTGAAGCCAAAAGATGAATGTGTAAAAAGTACCAATGGCTGTGAAGCTGCAGGAAGGAGAGGATTCAGTCATGCATTCTTTTCTAAGGGAAAGTTGGCTCTTTAATTCAGATGCTGAATTAGTGCCATGAAAACAGAAAATGCTATTTTCTTATGATTTAAAAGGATGTCCTATCTCATAAAATTGACATTGTTCCAAAGTTCCTGTGGTGATTTTGCACTATTGTTTTCTCGTATGGACCATGATGTCACTTGTAGCATGTCAATCATACATTGGAAAGTCCTTTCACTTCCATGTTCTATGTCAACAAAGAGAAATGTCATGTACATAATGTATATTATTGTAAATACTTGTTTCACACTAAGTAACTCTATTTTGTAAACTGAATATGGCTATTTAATTTATTGTGAAAATTAAATTTATTGTGGTATTTAAAAATGGAATGGATTAAAATTACTCTATGTGCAACTTTTCTTTTCAACTCATTTCTGTCTTACATGCCCCCTGTTTCTGGCTCCCCAAATCAAAGCTGTTTATGTGCACATTGAGAGCACCTGGAAACATGCACTTCTCCATTGGAGTTCTGTACCCTTGTGAGATTTATTTATGAAGTGAAGTTGAGTATATTAAAAAAGTCTCAACTATCTGGAAATCTAGTAGAATAGCCCTCAAAGAACACTAATGCTGCTCTGCTACAACTTTATAACAATTAATTTTCTTGCAGAAGCTGCTGTGCCAGGAGAAAGACAAGAAATACTTTAACATAATCAATGCAGAGAAGAATCACAATTTTATTTGAACCTCTAACCAGAGTCAGACCGGTAGAGAAATTGAGTAAAATGAGATTAGAAAACGTGTGTGGTCTCTGTACTGAAAGCTGCTGATGCTTCAAAAATGAATACAAACTCTCCGAACTCCCTCTTTGAAATGAAAATATTATCAATGTACTCAGAAATGATCAAAGTGTATAGTGTTGTTATTACTAGCCTAAACACATAACTCATATTTCCATCCAGAGAAATTAATGCTAAATTGGGTGCTTACTAACATCAAATAGATTATATATGCTTAAATATAATTCAGACAACCATGGAAAGAGGTTGGAAAGAGGTATCAGCAAAAATAATAATAATAAAAGATGGATTTTTCCCCATCACGATTGCTTACATTTGAGAGAGTTTAGTTCGACACCCCATTGAGAGTGCCTAGAGAAATCAACAAGTTACGATGGATTTTTCTCTATGAGTTGTTTATCCTGTCCAGTGATTTGATGGTGAGCTTTTACAAATAAATAGCCCTTTCCCTCCCAGTGTCGGTATATATTGCTTCGCAAGCCACAGCCTTGATAATCTTTGCTGTTTCAGTTAGCAGTGATGCTGTTCTCTCAGCACTGAGCAAGCCTGACACGACACTGACAGGCTGGCCTTGCGCTCACTGTGCAATAACTCTGGAGTGAGAGTCTTTGGTCTTAATGTCAATCACATCTCCCTTCCACCATGAATGGAATCAAATATAAGGAATCTGTCATCAGATTCCCCTGTGCCTCAACTCTCAGCTAATCATCAGAGGAAACTCTTTGAATACTACATTCAGGACATAATCACACATTGTCAACATTAATTTTTATTTTTTTCTTATATATTTTTATTGATTTCAGAGAAGGGAGAGGGAGAGAGAGATAGAAACATCAATGATAAGAGAGAATCATTGATCGGCTGCCTCCTGCATGCCCCCTACTGGGAATGGAGCTTGCAACCCAAGCATGTGTCCTTGACTAGAATCGAACCTGGGACCCTTCATTCTGCAGGCTGCCGCTCTATCCACTGAGCCAAGCCAGCTTGGACATCAACATTAATTTTATTATAACTATTCCTAGAGCACTATACGGCTAATAAGTTTTAAACCAGTGACTGTCAAATTATGCCCTGTTGGAATACTGATGTTTCAAAAACTCACCCTAGGTGAGTTTTCAAAAACCCACCAGGAAAATTGAAAATGGCAATCCTTTTCAAGACTTAGAGAGACATTTTACAAACAATGAACAGGAGTTTCTCAGTAGTAATCTTTTATATTCCAATTTTTCTTTAAACTTTGCTACTGCTACCAACAGTGTATATCAGAGTTCATTCTAAGATTCTATTTGACTTATGCTGACTTTCATAATTTGTTATTTTTAGCTCAATAAGCCAGCATTTTTGCATCACATTCAGGAAAAAAAAAGTGCTGTGATTTCCAGTTATTCCACTTCCTAAATAAGTTTGAGGATTGTTTTAAAGTTTGGAGCCTCCCCACAGAGATCTGGCCTGGGGGAGTGGGGTGGGTTTGGAGGCAGGTTTCATTTCACTGAAACAACAAACAAATAAACAAAAACCACAGCTGCAGCTGATTGGGCTAGGCAGAGAAATAAAAAGCCTATGACATAATAGCACACTTCCACGGGAGGCTTTAAACCTCCTTGTTTAGCAAAATGTTTCCTGTTGTCATCAAACAGGGACGGGGGACCTCTGGAGAAATCGTCAGCTTATTACAATAGCCCCACCAGGGTTCTCTTGAATAAGTTATTCCTTCTACATCATGAAAACCATATTCCCTCCAGAGGCCTGGTTGGCACCATATGGCTTTGTGAAACAGTTCTAGCTGCAAAGAGAAAGAAACCGTGTAAGCACCGGTGAAGTTCCTGCTGGACCATAAAGCTGAAATTACACCATTTGGGAAGTCAAGGAATTCCAATTATACAAACAGGAATTAGAGTCTCAAGGGAGTGAGAGACCCCATTGAGAGTGCCTAGAGAACAGAGGGGAAAAGAGACACACAAACCCATAGACAAAGACATCCCAAATTCCAAGTATATCACCTACTCCCTTGAAATCACCTCACTCAAACCCTCAAATGATTAAGGTGATGACTTTTCTAACTAATTGCCTACTAGTGAAGGAAAAATCAAAGACATTAGGCTAATGTATGATAAAGCAAAGGCACGTAAGTCCTTCATATTCACATCTGAGCTGAGATTTGGGACCTTTTGAGTTGATGGACCTGCAAGAACAGTCATTAATTTCTAGTCCAGACCCACTAAAGCTGATGGAGCCAACGAGAGCACTACTTGGGGTGCTGCGCCTGGCACAAGGGTCCTGCAGGAAGACAAGCTCAAGAACCTGTGGGAGCTTTACTGGGACACTGGAGAGGTACTGCTGCTAAGGGAAGGTGGGGACTCGGGACAGACAGGTGCAGTCCAAATCCCAGCGTTGACAATACGCTTCTGCTGTGTCCAAGCAGCTTGCTAAATAGGACTGCTTTCCTAAGCCTAACTTTAGAATTTTCCAGGGATGGAAAATTTCAAATGATTATAAATAGTGTCTTCCTGCTGAAGTTTTTGTGCTCTTTCCGCATACTCAGCAGCCATTTTCCATTTAGGAGAATAGTCTACACTACAGTCTAAGCAAAAAAAAAAAAAAAAAAAAAAAAGAAAAAAAAAAAACTTAGGAGAATAGTCTACACTGCAGTCTAAGCAAAAAAATAAAAAATAAATAAAAAAAAGAAAGAAAGAAAAAGAAAGAAAGGAAAAAAGAAAACTTTGCTGAAAACATTCTCCTTAAAATGATGAAATACAGCAAAATCATAGCAATTTGGGCTAACAAGGTGAAAATATAAAATATATTAAGGCAAATTAATTTCTATTATTCTCTACTACACAAAGTGCCAAACTATAATAACAATATATTGAAAAATGTCTAATTGTACCTGTTTTATCAAATAAAAACCTTAATTGCTATTTTTTCCAAATTGGTGTTACTCGAGTATTTCAATAACAGTTTTTCCTCTTAAAGAGGTTATGCATGCCCCCAAGTATCTGGTTATCAATTTTTATAGCTAGTGCAAGGATGAAATTTGGGCCAAAATATGATCGTTTGGTAAGGGTCTAATAAATGGTACCTTACTACATATCTCAAAAAACATTGTGCACTTTGAAAGATTTACTTATAATTACATTTGATTGTACCTTTGAGGAATAAGAATGACATTTCATAATGATTAGAGAGGGATTGAGGAGTTGAACAGGCACACTACACTGATAGCAATATGTATTTCCTATAGCAGGACCTGATTGGTGTCAGTCACACAAAGCAAGCTGCAGCAGGCCTGCCTGCTCCCTTATCGGGCTAGTTCTGTCACTTCTGAATTTATGAACATAAAAGTCTCCAAGTCTTAGGGAACTGTTGGTAAAAGGGTTGTTTCTAAACATACATGTCATCCCCCTTTAAAGAGTCCACTGAGAAGGTGAGTCACTCCCAGTAGACTGGGAACATCATTTCAAAGAGCTTACTGCCTCTGGCTCACCCTGCAACACTTCTAAATTCACACAACTCTGCTTTGCATTTCCTTTCCTTTAATGACACCAGGGGAAAATCTTGAAGGCCAACTACAAAACTGCCTGTTCCTTTAGTGAGGGCACTAAAGGTTTGAACATAGAGTATAAAAGAACTTGGAATTGATGCATGGCCGGTCATCTAACACTAGGTCCTGAAAAGAAATTTCAAGGTAAGGCCTTCCAGCAACACCAGATGACAATGTGACCACACCAAACAGAATTAATAGTATAAATAGATGGGTTAAAGTTTAGAAGCCAGAGGAGGGAGCAGCTAACTCAACCTGGAGGAGTCAGGACGTCAGTGAGACGATGCTTAAACGGAGCACAAGATCATTGTACCTCACAAGGCAGACAAGCAGGAAAAATGGGCTCCAGGATGAGGCAGGCAGAACAAAAGCATGAGGTCCAGAAGAGACTAGGAGGTCCACAAAGCTGGACAGTGGAGCATGTGTGAGAGAAGATGAAAGCTAAGAATGGAAACGGTGCCAGAGCTTCCCAGGTCTTGAGCAAGCCCTACCTGTGGGCACACCCCATGACTCAGGATGAGGGGCCCTTGCCTGCCTTCTTGGGTCTGCACCTGCTGATCCGTAGAAGCTACATATTTAAGAATGGAGATGAGATGATGACATTATTCTAAGTCTTCTTTCAAACAATTGGTGCCCAGAGAATTACAGTTTTCCTTCCCACTCTTGTTTACTTTTTGGATCTCTCACTTCTCTTCCTGGCCAGCAGCTTTGATAAAGCTGATGGAATCCTTCAGATCTGGCTCATTTTTTCATCAGGACTGAGGCAAAGGTATCTTTTGAAAGCCAGCTCTCTGCATATGTAGTCTGTAGAAGTTATATTGTCCATCTGCCACAAGTCCACTCATCCTGAAACCAGGACACATGGGAATGTGAAGAAATCAAACACAACATTCTCCCACAAGAAAGGCATAATAATAGTGTTTTCAAAAGTGTGCAGGGAATATATTTGTTTCATTGGAAACAAAGGATAAGTAAGCTAAATTTTGGGAGGTGGAATGGACAAGTCAATTCGTCTCTCTGGGCTTCAACTTCCTCTTAAATAACATGGAAGAATCAGAATAAGGGACGTTTAA